AAAAAAACAATCATTAAGGATCAGGGGGCTTGGCATCTGTCCACTCAGTGAAGCATGCTCATGCTATTTTGAAAACTCACCCAGAGGATTCCCCCAGTATGTTCCCTCTGCCTGGACCAAGCCAGAATTTATGTGCACATTTAAGTTCCTCCAACTGCAGCATAGATGAAGGTGGCAGAACTTCAGGTCATCTGTAAAAAATAACTAGTCTTTGGGAGTTTATGTCACTTGCATTTTCTTTAATTCATATATCTCCACTGTCATCCAAATCTGATACTTTAGGGGCTGGGGAGATGGCTTGGTAGATAAGAGTACTTTTTTCTCCTCCAGTGGTCCTTTGTTCAAACCTCAGCAAGATCATGGTGACTCAGCTGGGCGATGGTTGTGCACGCCTTTAATCCCAGAACTTGGGAGGCAGAGGCAGGTGGATTTCTGAGTTTGAGGCCAGCCTGGTCTACAGAGTGAGTTCCAGGACAACCAGGACTATACAAAAAAACCCTGACTCGAAAAACCAAAAAAAAAAAGGAAAGAAAAGAAAGAAAAAAGAAAAAAGAAAAAGAAAAAAAAAAGATCATGGTGACTCATAACCATCTATAGTGTGATCTGATGCCCTCTTCTGGCATGTAGGTGTACATACAGATAGAATACTCCTTATGCATTAAATTAATTAATTAATTAAAAGTGTGATACTTTAGAAATTAAAGAGACAGAATTATTCTCAGTGCCACCACACACCCTGAAAATGTGAGAAAGGATATGCACAACATACCTGTTTTACAAGGAAGGCTGGAATCCTAGTAGTCCATAGGTTTGGATTCCTCAGGTGTTCCAGTTCATAAGAAAGCAACACGTATAATTCTCTATCTGACATGCATCTCGTTGGAATTCATGTTGTTCCAGTAGATATTTTTATAATATTTATAGAACTTAAAAGAGACATGTTTTAGATGGAATTTTTCATAGTCTCTTTGAGAAATGTAAAATTATCCTCCTGCTGAAAGGAAACTTACATTTAACTACTAGGGGATAGATAGTTTGGATTTTAACTTACTGTTAGATGATTAAATTTGGTATAAGTTTTCAGTTCAAAGTAGATGGGAAAATTAAAGCTGTTTAAAATTTTAAGTAAACTGTTTTTTCAGATTTTGCATATACTCAGAATTAATCATGCTAGTTAATTACATTAATTAATACGATAAAATGCTATGAATTAGCTTTTATCATAGTAATGTAATACAAATTCCCACACAGAAATCACATGATTATGGAATAGATCAGAGATTGTTTTAGTAAAAGAGAGGAGGAATCTTTTGTAGTTAGATATTAGAAATTTCCTACACTTTCATTTTCTTTTTTTCTTTTTTTCTTTGGATATTTCAAATATTATCTCCTTAACCAGTTTCCCCTCCACAAACTTTATCCCCCCTCCCCCTGCATATATGAGGGAGCTTCCTCACCTGCACACATACTTACCCCTCAGTGCCTCAGCATTCCCCTACTCTGAGTCATCAAGTCATCACAGAATCAGGCGGCTCCCTCCTCATTGATGCCAATTAAGTCAACCCTCTTTTATATATCCAGCTGGAACCGTAGGTGCCCCTATGTGTATTAATTGGTTGGTGATTTAGACCCTGGGAGCTTTGGGGTTTCTGGTTGGTTGATATTGTTTTTTTTTTTCCTTTGGGGTGGCAAACCTCTTCAGCTCTTTAGTCCTTTCCCAAACTTCTCTATTGAGGTTTCTGCACTCAGTCTGAAGTTTGGCTTCATGCATCCTCTTCTATGTTGGTCAGGCTCTGGCAGAGCTTCTTGAGATACCTGTACCAGGCTCCTATCAGCAAGCACTTCTTGACATCAGCAATAATGTCAAAGTTTGGTGTCTGTATATAGGATGGCTCCCTAGGTGGAACAGTCCCTGGATGGACTTTCCTTCAGACTCTGAAAAACAATTTGTCTCTGCATTTCCTTCAGACAGGAGGAATTCTGGATAAACATTTTTGAGGTAGGTGGGTGGCCTCATCTTGCAATCAGGGCATGTGCCTATGCTCTGGCTTATTAGTCAGTGTTTTACTACTGTGAACAGACACCATGACCAAGGCAAATCTTATTAAAAAAAAACCAACAACATTTAATTGAGGCTGGCTTACAGGTTGGAATGTTCAGTCTATTATCATCAGAGTAGGAACATAGCAGCATCCAGGCAGTCATAGTGCAAGAGTAGCTGAGAATTCTACACTTTCATCTGATGACTACTAGTGGACGACTGAATTCCAGGCAGCTAGAGTGCATGTATTAAAGCCCATACCCACAATGGCATATCCATTCGAACAAGGCCAAACCTCTAATAGTACAATTCCCTGTTCCAAGCATATTCAAACCATGACATGTGGATATGGTCTTTACAGGTTCTCTTTCCTCTTTGTTGGGTATTTCAGCTAATCTCCTTGCTGCTGGATCCTGGAAACTTCTTGGGTTCTTGACATCTGGAACTTTCAAGTGGGTATGACCAGTTCCCCTTCCCCCACTGCTACATACCTCCATCAAAATTTCTGATGCTCCCGACTTCTTCAAGATCACTTGTATTTGAACTAGCTCGCCTTTTCCTTCCTCTTTTCTCTCCCTCCGAGATCCCTCTTTTTCTTTACTTCTCGAAATTGTTTTCTTCCTCCTTCTGAGTAGGACTGTAGCATCCACACTTTGGTGTGGTCTTCCTTCTTCTTGGGTTTCAAATAGTCTATGAGTTGCTCACTTTCAATTTCATGATAAATCAAAATGGCTTGTGGTAGATCACTGACGATTGCATCATAGTTTGTTGACATTGAAAAAACACAGTCTCTGAGGATGAATAGTTAATTAAATTCTCATTATGTACATGGCAAATCTGCCTACAGTGATGGTGGCATCATAACCTATGCATTTAAATCCAGCACAGACATTCTTGCATGGGTATAAATGGAGAACTTTTCGAATGGGAGGTTTAAAAGACTGAGGTTCAGCCTAAGCTATTGGATCACTATTGAGATAATGAGGAAGAAACTTCTCTCCTGGGCCATGATGCTGAGGATTGGGTCAAACTGGAGATAGCTCATTCATGAGCTGTCAGAGACAAGCTGTAAATGGTATCTCAAAGCTTCCACTCCTTGCTTCTTCCCATATGTTTCTCCATTAAAGGCACATATGTGAGGAGTGAACACTGATGTCTGTACATGCCTGTCAACCGGAAAGCATGAGCATACCAAGAGTCAAATCTGCCTACCTTGCCAAAACCTCACAATATCTATTTATTTAAATTAAATTCCCTTTTAAAATAAATAATTGACAGGGATATGTCTTTCTGGAACACTATTTACATCATTAGTTTTCTCTCATTCTTAACAACTATCCTAACAATTATACAAAAAGCTTTGTCTCAATGGGCTGATTAGAACACATATTACTTCTACATTCTCTTAGTATCAATCCTTTGGGTAAGAGGCCTAATTTTAGTGAGACTTTAATTTCTATTTAAAGGCAATTTTGATATCTTCTATAGGGGTTGTGTCCCTCATGTTTGGTACCAGCTGTGGAGGTCATTGCATGTACCATGGCTGGCAGAGAAACCAGACCTGTGTGGCAAGAAAGAAACTGGAGTAAGAATTAAGTAATTAGGTAACAGCATTTCATAGGTCTAAATTCTGACATCAGGGCAGTATATTTTAGACACATTTAAATACAGTATAACATTTGAAACCAAAAACTTTTATTTCAACTTTATTTGAACAGTAAACCTAAGACATGGCTACATTGAAACTTCTTGCAATGTACATGTGACTTCTCCCATAGGTGTGGATTCAATTGAGAAAGGTAACTAATGGTGAAGGTCTGTGATGGAAGATTCTGGGGAATCTGGGTGACCAATTATAGATAGAAAAGTTCATCAGTTTACTAACAACATCCATTCTCAGTATTCTAGGTGAAAATCAAGTATATATTTCTTCCATTGAGGAGACAGCACTATGTGATTAACAGTCCTAGTTTCTCCAGTGCTTATCTTTGAGGACCAATGCCCACTGAAACTAGAAGAGGATGTGTTATTTTTGCAATCATAAGAAGCTGTAAGGGTACTTCCCTCTATCTGTATTGCAACACCAACCCAGGCCTTTGCATATTGTTCCCCGAGGAGGAACCACCCATGCCAGTTTTGGATAAAAAGGTCCCTTGTCTTCTTTCTGTGACTGAAAAGTCTTCTCAGGATTCCTCCTCAAAATGAAGTTGCCTGGTAGACTATTGGTGCTGTTGTTCTGGATTCCTGGTGAGAACAGAAGGAATTGAGAATGGGGAGGGAGCACAAGAACTTGGTCATACTGCTCAGTACATGTATTGTGCCATGTATGAGTAGACAAGTATTATCCTCCAGTATGGGGTATGTTGGGTGTATAGCTGCGAGAAGGAGGTTTCAGATGGGAGAGAACCTGTGCTACAATAAATATTATGACATGGATAGATCGGATACTCTACATTAAGTATTAAAGAACCATGGGGATTCTATTTAACTTGTTTTGTTTTGATGGAAATTTTAATATCTAAAAATTGTATGTACAAATACATATAAAGTTGAAATGTATTTTAAAAATCATAAGATTTTTCCTGAAGTTTGTGCATGATTCTGTACTTCTCTCTTATTTTTTTCAGCTTCCAGTAGTGATGTTGTGATGACACAAACTCCAGTTTCCCTGCCTGTCAGTCTTGGAGATCAAGCCTCTCTATCTTGCAGGTCTAGTCAGAGCCTTGTACATAGTAATGGAAATACCTATTTGGATTGGTACCTGCAGAAGCCAGGCCAGTCTCCACAGCTCCTGATCTATGAGGTTTCCAACAGATTTTCTGGGGTCCCAGACAGGTTCAGTGGCAGTGGGTCAGGGATAGATTTCACACTCAAGATCAGCAGAGTAGAGCCTGAGGATTTGGGAGTTTATTACTGCTTACAAGCTACACATTTACCTCCCACAGTGATACAGACCCTAACAAAAATGTCCTTGCTTTGAGTATCACAGCTGTCAAAGAAGTTACTTATCTGTGTGAGAGGGAAGTGTTTTGGAATTGCAGATTATGTGGTGCAGCTGACAGCATGTGCATCTTGGCTACAGCTCACTGGTCATTCTTTTTGCCTTCATTTGCTACAATAACAATGATTTTGCTTCTGCCTCAGTAGAATAGTGAACAGGTGGCCTCGCAGCAATAAGCAATGATGGTTGTAAAGCAGAGTGTAAACTCATTTTTTTTCCTACATGCTTTGTCTTCTTGTCTTTCTTTGTTACTCAAAAGTATCCAGAAAAGCAGTCAGGAAACTAAACAGTGAAACTTAGCAATCCAGTAGTAAACTTTCAGTTTAATTTCATGATTATTTCTCTATTTTTTCCAATAAAATGCATGGTGTCTTTAGCAATAGAGATTTGTGACCTCCTTCTGGCAGTGAATGAAAAAATGACATTGTATTGTTTTACCTGTATTGTATTTATTGTGTTGTGGTTTGGGGGCCTCTGTTATAAGGATGATTCCTATACATGACACTAAAAACCTGTTACCTCTATAGGAGCATTACTCACCCCACAATTATAAAATAAGTTTTCTGTAGTGTTTGTAGTTACACACTCTTAGTTTTATTTACACTTCAACAACCTTTCCTTTCTTATTCGTTGCTATTTCCATGTGTAACCTTTTCAGTAACTAGCATGCTCACTCTCTACTTTCACATCACACACATTCTACAGTTAGGGTTTGAAAATCAAAAACAACCAAAGAAGGAGAAGAGTCCACAAAAAGCATGATATTTACTTGAATTAGGCAGCAAAACCTGATCTGTCATGGTAGGACAGGAGCATAGACTCAGGAGCTGACTGTGTTCCCAAGCATTCCTCTAAGCAATTATTTAAACAACAACAACAACAACAACAACAAAACCCAAAAACATCTGTGTCAAAATTTTGCTGAAATTTTTCATCATTCAGAATTATTTTTTCTTTTGTGGTTAGAAATAGTCATTATGCTTTGGCAAACAAACAAAAATAAATAAATATGGAGGAAGTTAGTCAGCTACATTAGAACGTTCCCAGATACCCTAGGGACTACAAATTTGAATTTAATTTTGCCTTATGATCAAAATGGAGTATGAAAACCAAGTGGCAGTATTTTAAGCCTCATTTGTCTGCTATACCACTGTCTCCTCCTCTCCTTAAGGTCTATTCTCAATTCCTCTCTCATCATATTTTTTTTTTAACTTTCAAACTTTACAGATTCCAGAGAAATCATTCAAATGTAACCATTAGGAGCCACTTATGAGAGTGAATACATGACATTGCTCTTTGTCACTCAGTATAAATTTCCTAATTGTTCCACACATTTCTTGCAAATTTCCTCATTTCAGACTTTTATGAAGCTAAATAAAATTCCACTTGGATGTGTCTCACTTTTTCATTAGCCATGCTTCATTTGATGGATGTCTAGGCTAATTGCTTTTCCTAGTTTTTGTGAATATACATTTATAGATACACATGTATTTATTCATTTGGTAGGTATATTGTTGACTATATATTCTGTTATAAGTATATGTACATGTCTAAAAGTACATGTTTTAAAGAAATATATAAATATCTTTCTCTAGTGGTGACTAAGGAGGCATTTTCCATTGCCATTTGCTCCACTTCATGGTGAGGCCACATAAACCAACCCCAAGTTTTTCACAGGAGAAATGATGCATATTATGCCATACTCGCTAATCCCTTTTTTGTCATGAACACCTTCCATGGCCCCCCTCTTCAGTTTATAGTCCACTCTTCCTCTTCCTTGTTGTTATTGTTTATTATTATTATTATTATTATTATTATTATTATATGTGTATATGTGTTGTACACACATACATACACACACACATATACATATATATATATATATATATATATATATATATATATATATATATATAT